ACTGCTCGTAGGCAGATAGAAGGGATTATTCTGTGTCGAAAAATTCTGAACCATTTTTCTCTATTATATATAATAAAGGAGTAAGTATTAAATAAATCAAGCCAATCAGCGCCGACCTTTAGTCGGGCGCACGTCAGTGAGCCGCGCGGAGCGCTCACGCACACCAGGCGCGTGGTTCACTGACATGCGTTCGGCTATATATATATACAGGGTGTCCCATAATGATTGTCTCACCGCTCGTAGGCAAAAAAAAGGAGTTATTCTAAGACAAAAAGTCCTATATCACTTTGGAAGATTCGCAATAATTAACGAGATATAAATTAATAAAGATCCGCTAATCAGCGTGCATCCAGCGTAAGGACAGCGCCAGTCTGTCGCAAGATCGAGCAGAGAGCAACAAGAGCATCGAGCGGTGGGGGCACGCACACAAGCCAGAACCGCTGCTGTGTGTATGACGTCATCTCTGCTCGATCTTGCAACTCTGGTCTGTCGCGCCATACCGACGGAATACAATAGCGCGGATAGCGCACTGCCCGAACACAGCCTATATGCTGTTTATGTATGCACATGTTATTCTATTAGTTCTTCCGATTTCGTCGCTACGGCGTGGCGCGACAGACTGGGCTGTCCTTACGCTGGATGCATGCTGATTAGCGGATCTTTATTAATTCATTTCGGTAATTATTGCGAATCTTCTAAAGTGATATAGGATTTTTCGTCTTAGAATAATCTCTTCTTTTTGCCTACGAGCGGTGAGACGGTCATTATGGGACACCCTGTATATATATACAGAGTGTCTCATGAAATAATGGCAGCGATTTTCCGGACATCCTGTACATATACACAAATAAGATTCCTATATATAAAGTATATAGAAATACAAGTTACTAGTAAAAGATATAACTAACAAGTTGTAAGTCTAATGTAGCATGTTTGAGACAACATTAAACAGTTGCGTACCTGTGAAAATACAAGTCAAAAGTGAGTATACGTAAATAATTAAGAATAATTTCTTATTGATAATTAACAAAATTATGTACATTTAATAATGTACTTTGTCGGTTTACTTTTAGCTTTAATTACAGCAGCTAATCGCTTTGGCATGAATGCAATCAAGTTACGTGTTGTTAAAACAAAAATATTACACATTCCATGCTCTTATTAATTCTGTTTTAAAATTTTCCTTACTCGTAATTTTGATTTTTTCTAATTTCAAGTCAAATATTTTCCACAAATTCTCTATAATGTTAAGGTCTGGAGACTGTGGTATAGGATGTAATTGATTTTGAGTGTTCTGTAGCAAGCAATCCTTAACGATCTTTGCTATATGCTTTAGGTCTCGATCCTGATGAAAGACCTATGAATCCGAAAATTTAAGTTTTGTAACATTTGCAGCTAAATTCAATTTTAAGACATCTAAATATCCAAATCTGTCTATAGTACTGTTAATAAAAGCCAATTCCCCGACTCCAGAGGCTGCAATACTACTGCACACCATGATATTACTTTCGCCATATTTGACGGTACTTACAAGATTTTTCGATTCTGTAGTTTTTGTCCGCCAAATTTTTGATTGTTTTTTTCTTCCAAAAATTTCAAATTACTAAATTTACTTTTATCCGTAAATACTACAGTATTCCAAACCTCGACCGGTTTATCTATGTATTGTTTTGCAAAGTGCAATCGCAAAAGCCGATTTTTTGCACTTATCGCGAGTTTTTTATGTGGAACAAGGCCATAAAAATCATAAGTATTTAATGATCGGCGAACTGTACTTGTACTTACGGATTTTTTTCAGTATTTCAGATATTTTTGAAGCTAAAAATACTGCACTTATAGAATCTTCCTTTACCTTTTGTATAATTAATCGTGTATCTGCCTCATTTAATTTTTTCGGACGACCAAATCGAGGAAAATTTTTTAAAGTTTTTGTAGTTCTATATTTGTTCATTATTTTTTTACTGCTCCATGAAAACGATTTATTATTTTCCCTATTTCTCGGAATGATTTTTTTTTATTTCTTAAGAACGTACTGAATACCGGCTAGAGACCTGTAAATCGACGTTTTAGAAACCTAAATTTCTCTAATTTCTAATTTTGTGTAGTGCATTATATGAAAAATGCTTCTACAGAAGCAAATAAATATGAAAAAGTATATAGTGTTTTTGAAAATAAGTATATAATATGCTTTTTTAATCTCTTTTTTATTCATAATGATAGCATATGATAATCTATTCTGTCATCACAATATTTGTATTTCTCTCATCAATTAGAGAGTCAAATCATAATCTGAGTGTCTCATTATGTTGTTTTTTGTCATACTTAGTGCGCTAATTCAGTGTAAATACGTACAGAAGCTTAGAAATAATTCTACATATATGTGAATATATGGTGAAGTTACAGAAGAAAACTGTATAAGAGAAAAAATGTATGCTGAATTTTGATATTCTAAAAAACAAGCGCACTTTCTTAGCGCAATTTACTTATTTTTAGAGAAACATTTTGGATTTAATGCAACACATAATCAAATATTAAAACGTCGATTTACAGGTCTCTATAGTCGGTATCCAGTACTTTCTTATAGCGATTTCGGCTGGTCTGCACCGATGTGCCACCTGTGTAGAGTTGGTGCAACACCGCATCGGTGTGTGTACTGATTACACTAACTGGCTCCGACTAATTTGTGAGAGCCACTTTGTGTACACCCAATATGCACCTATGCGGTGTACTGAGCTCAGACGAATACGCGGAACCAGCAAAGAACTGCTGCCATTCGACCAGCCGAACACACAATTAGCACCGACACCCGAAATGTGCAATCGGTGCAAACCAGCCGAAATCGCTATTAATTTAACAATAGGTTTTTTCATACATGTCTTCTGAAGTTTCTGTACGTCTTTTATCCATATCTATGTTTATATAATAAATGTTTCAAATTTATGAAAACTGATATACATTTACATAAAGTCATGATTCTTCAACAAATAATACTCTTGAAGAACTTTACACGATTCTGTCTCATTGCAACTAAATTTGCTGCGTATACTCACTTTTGTATTTATAAATGACCGTCTTACACGAACAGACGTCTGTTTACAAAAGATTTCAATACAAATTACTGAGATATGTGTTCCTATATAATTAAAATGCCATAAATTTCACATACTACCATAGTATTATTTTGATCTTAATGCTATAATTTGTAAATATTATACAAATTTCATGTTTATAAGATGTATACTCATTTTTGACTCTCACTGTACATATACACCTATATACAAGGTGTTCCATAAAGGTCAAGACTTCTGAATATAAGTTAGAGAATATAAGTTTTACAGAAAAGTGTTTTCAATAAAAGCTGTAGGGTTTAAAAGGATCTCTTTACTGATTGTATTAGTGTGATCTTGGATGACGCCGCCAAAATCAGGTCAAGGTTACATCGACTTTTTAAATAGAAATCCCTATATTTTTTATTGCATATTCTTAACAACTTAATTCAAGAGCTTTACAAAACACTATATTGAAGTTTATTTTTATTAAGTACTTCTTGAGTTTTGAAGGTTGAAAATTAGAGTACCGCCGGTATTAGCATTATTCATTAGCTGGATTTACGACTGGATCTTGCCTTAGTTGACTGCATCCACAATCAATCTTGCCTTACAAGGGGAGGTCGCAACGTTGTACCAATTGATTTGGACGAAATTTATAGGATTGATAGATGACTATGTGGAGTATTGCAAGGTAAAGTAATAAGACGCACTACTCAAGCATTCGCGAGAAAATCGACTTCAAAAATTTCGAGTTATTTTATAAGGATATTAAGGAGATCGTTTAATTGAAGAGCGCGTATCCTAGTGTTAGCGTACTACGTTAGTAATCGACACTCCTGGTTCGAGTCTCGATATATTGTACTTTTTCTTTCAAAATTCTACAGTATAATCTAAATGTAAGTAATTTGTTTATTCTAAATGTAAGTAACGTTATTTTTTATTTATTGCAGGTTATAAAAATGCATTTTTTTTGCATAAGAACTCTGTGATTCAAAAAATGCGGTAAAAATAAATAGATTATTACGAATTACTAATTGTGTTCACATAAAAAGCGGATAATTAATTGTACGCAACATGTAAAAATATACGCAACATGTTTTATTTATTGGAACTAGATGGAACAATACATAAGGATGATATTTGTAATAAAAAGTGAAACAATAAGTTTCACGACAATGTGCACATCGTATGAACACTGCAGGTTTACATTCACATAGTTTCTTTAAAATATTTATTGAAAAACATACTTCGTTGACATTCATAAATATCTCTCTCTCGTTTGTTAATTTGGAAGCATACCATGCATATTGTAACATATGCATATTGTAACATATTTCAAAAACTCGGGGCGGACAATTGATGATGTATGATTGAATGAATTTTTATGCAATCTTCACGAAATGTTATTTCGCGGTTTTGTTCTATTAAAGTTAAACAAGTCTGCAAACGCTTTATAAAATTTTTGACTTGTTTATAAAAATAAATGTCACACGGTTGACATAAAAGTATGCACTTATTTATCCGCTGTTTATGAACACAATTAGTAATTAGTAATAATCTATTTATTTTTACCGTATTTTTTAAATCACAGAGTTTGTTATGTACATTACCATGCAAGCGGGCCTGCTACATTGTAAATCGAGTACGTCGATCGCGGCGTCTCTCGCAAAGAATGAACGTCTTGACTTTACGCGATTGGTGCGAGCGACC